TCTCTTACCTCGGCCTCTGAAATAACCCTTCCTCCAGCTGGTGTCTCTGCTGCCTCCTTTCTCGGCAAGACAGGCTGGGTGATCCTTTTAATTTTTTTTATTTTGTTATTTTTTAAATGTCTATTTATTTTTGAGACAGAGTGCATGCACCAGTGGGGGAGAGGTGGAGAGAGAGAGGGAGACAGAGGATCCAAAGCCGGCTCTGCGCCGACAGCAGAGAGCCTGATGCGGGGCTTGAACTCACAAACCCTGAGATCATGACCTGAGCTGAAGTTGGGTGCTCAACTGAATGGGCCACCCAGGTGGCCCCTGAGCGATCCTTTTTAAAGGATCATTGCTTTTCTGAAGCACTTAAATGAAAGTCACAACCCCTAGTCAGGCTGACACAGCACATGACCACTCTACCTTCTCCTACCTAGTTTCAGTGGCTGAACTGTCCCACTTGAATCTTTATACCAGCTGTTTCCTCTGCCTGGAATACTCTTCCTGGCCCCCATCTCCACAAGGCTGGATCCTTTTTGTCCTTTGGACCTCAGCTTAAATTTTTCTTCCTCCACAAAACCTTATCTGAGACCCCAGCTTAAAGTAATAATGAAACTAACATTTATAAATTATTCTTCTATATGTCAGGCATTTTCCGACACTTTGTGTGCAAAGCTCATACTATCTCACAAAAACCCAGTGAGATAGCTTATTATTTGTCAAAAAGAGCGTTTATTATTACTTATTTATAATAGCCTCTTACGCTTTTATGCTTTCTTGCCAGATGACTTTGGAACAGGTGCTTTCTGACCCTTCAGAGCCTTTGGAGGCACTGCCTTCTGGCCTGCAGCGTTCAGGACAGGAACATTCTAGGCTGGAACCTTCTTGCCCACAGCAGCCATCTTTTTTGCTGGCACCCCTGCAGCAGCTGCTGAAGCCGCACCCTTAGCAGCAACTGCTTTTTTGGGGAGAAGCTTTCAGGAGAGTTGCTTTTTGTAGCTTCCTAACTTCAAGCTTGGTTATTCTGTTCCTCATTTTCTTTGCCTTCATGACTTTGTAATGATCAGAATCTGTCATCTTGGCTTTCCTTTCTCTGGTTTCAATTTTCTTGGCCCATCTCGTGACTGCCCCTGTTTGATATCTGCCTTCTGCCAGGCTTGTCAGACATACTTCTGGCAGGCACTGTGAGGGAACTTGACAACACAGTCAGTGAGCGGCATGCACTTGAAAGGCACAGCCTGTCTCCTCACCTGACACAAAGGTCCATCAGCCAAAGCCCTGTTCTGGTCAATAACATCTACGATCATGAACAGCTTCCCAGCGTGAGGCCCAAGGGAGACGTAGGTCACCCTGGCCAATCTCCATGAAATGCTGTGCTGGCGGCATTCGGCGAGAAGCTGGATTTTATTTTTATTATCATTCCCATCTCATAGTAAGGAAACTGAATCCCCAGCAAAGGTATGCAGAGATCCCGATATAACTGAAAGACTAGCTTGTCGCAGATTTCACTTAATTGCTCTGCTGGGTATAAGGTAGCCTGCCAACTACTCATAATCACATCACTCTGTTTTTATTTTTACTTTTTTGAAGTGTGATTTGTTTGTTTTTCTTCTCTTGATCGAATGTGAGCCTTAATTCTGTTTTGTTCACTGCTGTGTGTTCTGGACCTAAAACAATGGCTAGCACATACTCAACTACCGTTTGTTGAAAGAATGGATGAGTAAATAAGCAGATAATCAGGAAATTGCTGAACTTGATGAAGAAAACATACAGGATTACGAAAGGACAAAAGGATCGTTTTAAAATTCTGATTCAAAAGTTTACTCTGAAAAAAAAAAAAGCCCACCTTTTTACTCTGAATTATAGATTCACAGAAAGTTGCAAAAATATTCACCCACATTCCCCCAGTAGCAAAACTATAATATCAAAACCAGGAAATTAACATTGGGGGGCGCCTGGGTGGCTCGGTCTGTTGAGTGTCTGACTTCGGCTCAGGTCATGATCTCACAGCTCGTGTGTTGGAGCCCCAAGTCAGACTCTGTGCTGACAGCTCAGAGCCTGGAGCCTGCCTCAGGTTCTGTGTCTCCCTTTCTCTCTGCCTCTCCCCCACTTGTGCTCGCATGCTCACTCTCTTAAAAATAAATATTAAAAAAAATTTAGAAAAAAGAAAATTAACATTGGTATATGCATGACAGTGTTCCATGGTTTTATGTGTTTTGTCATGTGTAGATTCATGTAACCACCGTCACAAGCAAGACACGGAATTATGTCACCACAAGGATCTCCTTCAAAAATAGATTATTTTGAAAATATCATAATATTTGGAAAAATTTGGAAATGTTGGAAAATTGAGAAAATCCACATTTTCCTTAACAATTTTTTTTAAATTTTTTCATTGTTTATTATTTTTGAGGGAGAGAGAGACAGAGAGCAAGCAGGGAAGGGGCAGAGAGAGAGGGAGACACAGAATCGGGAGCAGGCTCCAGGCTCTGAGCACTCAGGACAGAGCCTGACGCGGGGCTCAAACTCACAGACTGCAAGATCATGACCTGAGCTGTGGTCGGCCGCCCAACTGACTGAGCCACCCAGGCGCCCCAACAATTATTTTTATTATACATGTTTTCCCACAGTTGTTATTACTTTGTGCTATATTTTTTTTTAATGCTCAATGGACATCCTCTTAATCTTTGATTTTTGCAGATCTCTTGGTTTGAAAGTTACATTCTACAAAATTGTTGCAAGGTAATAATGCAACTGTTCCTCTGAAATATTCCTTTGCAGGAGTGCTGGTTAAGACTGCTACATTTAAATACTCTATCTTCTATAAAGTCACAATGTAATCATCACAATAAAAAGTATTTGTTCCCCAGTCTTCCATCTGTGTAACACAGAATTGAGTGAGGAACTGACTTCATTTCCTTTAAGTAATTTAAGTGGTTTTCTTGATCACTTTCATTTTGTACTTAGATTATCTAGATCCCAATGATGGATCAACTTTTAAAGAGGTTATCTACATACCTATTCATTTATGATATATATATATATGTATGTGTGTGTGTATACCTGTTCATATATGATAAAATAGTTCATTGTTTCTGGAAAAAAAAAATAGACTGACGTGAAAAGCTGGGGTTCAGGAGTGAGTGGTCAAGAAAGAATTCTTGAGACATCTTTGGTGCAAAAAGTTGGTCTTCCTAAAGGGGACAGGACCTGTGGGCAGGAAGAGCTGCACTGGGGATGTGAGGAGTGGCTGATTACAAACTTTTAAGTCAGGAGGGGGTTAGGGATCGCATAAGTCTCTAAGGAATTTGGAAGCAAGGTTTCCAGGACCTTGAGGGGCTGGGTGTTGTTGGGAAAAGGTAATTTATTACTGTAGCAAAACCTTAGTCATGAGACCCTTCAGATGTGTATCAGTGGGCCATATACATATACATGTACATGGAGGATGATTGCTAACATATATCTTGGTGGGGTGGGTAGAGTTAAAGGAAGTTTCTAAAGGGATTTTTTTAAACATGATCCTGGAGGTTGGGCTAATGTCAAGCTAAAGTTGCCTTTTTCCTCTAGCAAAGTATTAACATCGAGGCAGCTTAGCTCCTTGAGGAAGGTCACTCTGCCTGTCCCAAGTACTTGTCAATGGGCTGCAAGTTATAAGGAAGTTTAATTTTTTCTGTATTTCTTTTGCCTTTGTTCTCCACATCACAGAGGAGTTGAAGAAATCAGTATGAACTAATTTATTTTACTATGTCTAGACATAGAAATATAGGTACCAACACGTATACATGGATTCACGGACAGATTTTCTAGCTTTGTCCATCAAGGGTGGGCACCCTAATAGCAGTGGCAATGAGCATACCTTGTACCCTGCTTTTGGTTTCTCAATAACATTATCAGGAAAAGGAACCATGGTTCCTTGGAATATGATGGGTCCTGAGGCTGGGCAGGAAAACCATAAGGTGAGGCTGGAGCATCTTGATGCTCCAGGAAGGAAGTGTGAAACATAAAACAAAACAAAGGACGGGAGTATGTCAAAAGGATGCGGGAGCCAACTTGAAAGAGCTCTCACAGGACATAGCTGGGACAATTTGAGCAATAGTAAAAATGACAGTCCTGCATTACAACCAAAGAACAATGTATATATCCAAGAGTCCATACTGATAAAAATGACTGAAATAAATCTTACTTGCAGTAGAATTTCAATTAATAAACAGAGAAGTAGAAAACCACCACGTAAAGGCCACAATGATAATTGCAGTGGCATGATCTACTGTTAATGCTACAATTTTGACAGTTCAACTTTAAAAAGAAACAGGGCATTTGCACAATACTTCGATTTTGATGTTTTCAATTCAGGCTACCAAAACTTCTAAAATGGTTATCAATTTGCAAACAAAACACTTAAGAACAAGGTCTTTTGGAGAGCCACCTTAGTCCTATTTGTAGATTTAAGACATTGAAATCATTCACCATTGTAACAATCGTTTAGAGGATTAGTGTTAATACTAAAAGAATTGATTACAATGGCTCTTGATTTGTGGCATCTTTGAGTCTCAGTAAATGTTGATAAATAATTCAGTGAATTGCTAAAACATCTGGTGAGCCTTTTGAGTTGGCTAATAAATAACGAACTCTTTTCCCAACCAATGTATTGTGTTCGGCTGAATAATGGATATTCTCCCTGTAAGTTTCACATATCAAAAATGTCTTTGGGTCCATCATTAGTAAACTTGAAACTATTTTGTAGGACTGTCCATCCCCTACAAACTTTAAATATGGAAGCAGGAAAGCCTATCTTCTAACCCAATAATGTGGGGCTTAACATATTTCAGAACCATTCATGCTATTTGATAAGACTATCTTTCCAACAGACATTTTCTATCATGCCAATGACCGCACTCTCCTTTCACTTAGTCATTGGCATTGTGGAATACGCGTTTAATAAATACGTTTGTATGTACGTATGAGGTTTCGGATGTACCTGACTACTTGAAGGGAACAAAGCAAGCCAGAACAAGAACTCCAACTTTTATAATCAACTTTATTCAAAAGTTTTCAAATTTACACCTGACAAAAGCCAATGCAAAAGTTCAAATCTGCCAGAGACTCATATTGGCTACAGGTGAACTCAATCTTACATTTAGTTAAGCAATGCCCATGGTCAACTGTGAGGGCTTTGCACGCATTCTTTCATCTCACCACAACCCCTTCACTGTGATTCCACAAATACACCTGTCTTTGTGAAGCTTACATTCTGGCAGAGAGAAGACAGCAGGCACACAAGCGAACAAATAATCTAGTTTTGTCTTAAACCTCTTTAACACTGACTATGAACACTGAATCCAAGGGCCAGTGGCTATCAACCTTCTCCTATTATGAAGTTAGTAACAGACTCATTTTTATGGCCAAAAAAGGTAAGTAAGCAGTACTGGTCCTACCCACCCTTACTGTTTAATTCCATTTTACAGAAGACAATTGAGGTTACTATGAATCTAGATTTCTTTTCCTCATATTTTCCCTTGACGGCTTAACACTTGTGCCACTCTAACATAGCACCCTGCATCCGTCATCTGCCTTATGATCCACATACCACACCGGATGCTGAGCCCTGCATGCTTATCTTCCAGTGGCTTCTCTAGTTTCAATGCCAAGAGTTCAGCCACATTTTGCTTAACACACACAGGGAAGGAACTGTTATTACGCTCTGTCTCACTGGACTAGGCTGTTTCTTCAATCTTTTGACAACACTACTATGAACAATAAACCCACTTCTAAGATGTACCCAGAATTACTGGGTTTATGTTGCATAACTTGTAAGAATTATTTTCTATGAAAAAGTTGTGAATTTGCTAAAATGTTCATCAGTTTGTTTATATTCAACTTTTAAAAAAGGGGGTGAGACTCTCACTGCCCATGCCTCTTATATGTAATCACCTTCATTAGCTTCTGACTTATCCTTTCTGAGTGGTCTATTTGCAAAACTGGGTAAATCTACATATATACACATGTATACTCTATTTCCTCTGCTTTATGAACAGCAGTGCACCAGATACCCTGTTGTGCACCTTGCTCTTGTTTTTAGTAATAATGTAATCTTTAACATGTCATCTACCCTTTGAGTTTATTCACCTACAAACTGGAGAGGATTCTATAGAAAAATGTAAGGACCTCACCACAGGACTGGGCAGATGACGCGTTCAATACAGTAAATGCTGCCCCATCTCTACAATCCTATCCCCTGCCTCTGCCCATGGGAAATCAGACGGCTACCATTCACCCCAGACAAACCTCCCCTTTAGACTGGAGATTAAAGTACACGGGCAATCAGGAGAGCACATCAAATCCTCCCAGCTATTAAATGGTTTACAGCTTCCTCCTGAAGGGAAAGTCTTCAGTTATTAAACACACAGGTTCAAATTGTTGAGGGCCTACGAATTAACAGATTGATAGGAGCAACATCTATCATGTATGTATGTGGAAGCATGTAAAGGGCCGCCACTGAACAGCCAGAGATAAGGTTTTATATACCAGCTTAATGGGATGGGGAGTGGGTATTAAAGCTTCAGTGGAAAGTATGGAAGGTGCAGTTAGGACTTATTTACACAATTCTTCGGATGCCCAGATACCAAGTCAGGCTCCTCCCTTACAAAAGGCTCCCTGGAGAGAGGGTTAGGACAGCTGAATTCTCAGAAAGGCCTGCTTTACTCATCAAAGAGAAGTCTGAAGTAGGCCTCCTTCTGCAGCTGCTGTTTGTTCAGATGCTGTCAGTGCAAAGGAGTCTTTATGCCCTTCCGGTGGGGCTGGTCCCCTGGTTTCCTTGTTTGAAACCTCACATGAAGTTCCACAGGCAAGGAGCCCCGTGTAGTGCTGTGAAGAGGACACTTGGGCAGGAACTCGGGAGGTGAGAGATCTGCGAACGGCAACACAGATGAGAACAATGATGAAGCCGAGCAGAACAAATCCAAACATGTGGCCCCAATGTCCACTGAACCAGTCTCTCACTCCTGAGACGAGGTCAGTCCAATTAAAGGCTAATTCCCTCATTCGAGGTCGACTGTCGATCCGTTCCTTCACACTGTTCAAAAGAAACCTCACTTCTTTTGACTTGTTTACATAGAGGCAGCACTGGTTGCCAATGATCGTACACGTTCTTCCTTGTTGAGCAGCCGATAGATCCAGATGGTGATTTTGCAGTGCAGAGAGTAAGCTGCTAACTCTTGACTGGTGCGCCTCCGAGGTCTGCACCGTGGCAGCCAATCCTTGTTCGGTGGCTTTGGAAATGCTTAGAATTGCTTCTTCTAGATCAGAAGTTCCCAATCTTGAAAAAAGGGCCCTTAACGAATTGGGGTTGTGATAAACAGGTGGATGGTCTATGACGTCTCGTTGGGTACGTCTGTGTGGTGCTACTTTATGTATTAAAGAGCCCACACTTGTAATTTGGCTACCATTGAAAGCGGGATACTGGCTGACGGAAGGTGCCAGGTATCTGAGTCCACATCGCCCTGACCAGTTAGGTGGGAACTCCTTATATACTTTATCACCACATAAGATAAAAAGACCAGAGTTGTTCACGGACAAGGTCAGAGTGGAACCCACCAGGCTGGCATCGGGTGTCCACCATGACCTTTGTCATTAGTTATGTTGGCAGCTGCACATCTCCATTTACCATGTGCCTCTGTCAGCCTATAAGAACAAAACAAGTTGTGAAATATAAGACACCTATCTTATTGCGAAATATAATGCAAAATATATATTTCGCAACATATTTCGCAATCTATTATATATAGAGATAGGTGTCATTACCTAACCAGGTCATTCCAGAATTTTGGTCCACCCATATGTAGTCTTGGGTATTGGGCAGACTGACCAGGGGAAAAGGTGAGCTGTTCCAGGTCCCAGTCATGTGGCCTGCAAACCAGGAATATTGTCCAGTGACTAGGCAAACATTTGCATCATCATAATCAGTCTTGGACTCATTTGCAACATCTATAGAAGGTCTGAAGGTGCCATCTGTGGAATCAAACCATACTGTTTGATTACAGTATTGTTTTGGTACATCACCTAGGAAGGGTCCAGTGCCATTTTTGTTTTCAATGCAAACAGAAAAATTTCCCTCCAAAAGTCTCACCTGAGTTAATGACAGACCTTGAGCTTCCGCAGAAGTTTCCCAATGCAAAGTACTCTACCATAGGAGGAAGTAGAGTGATTGTGTCCTCTTGTTTGTGGATACCATTCCCTTTTATGCATCCACTGTCCAGAATGGGTCCACCAGGTGCTTGCATGGGCAGGAACAAAAACTAATTCAGGTTCTTGTGCGTTATCTAGGTGTTGACATAACCAGCAGTCAGATAAATTAGCTAAGGTGGCCAGGGTTTGGAAGAGGGGTGGGAGTGGGTACTGGGATTGTGCTAGAATTGTTGAAAAAGCAATAACGGTTAGCTGAAGCAAGACACAGTTTGAAAGGGAGCCCATAGTGGAGGGACAGAGGGAGACAAGATTAAGACAAGCAAGCTCCACCCAATCTTTCTATAAATAAAAGAGGTTTGTTTTTGTTTTTAATTTCTAGGTCAGAGAACTTCCCAAGTCCGGGAGAGAGGCTTCAAGGGAAGATAAATGAAGACAACGTTCTTGATTCAAGATTTTGGACAAAGCTGCCTACTTCATGGTGTCATCTGCTTCTGGAGCCTGGGAATCCTCAACTTGAAGTCACTCATATGGATGGCCTTCTCACTATCATGTAGGTGTTGATCTGGATCTAGCTTGGTGTGTCTCATGTGAATCCAGTTAGATTTTTATTTCGAGGGCAGTGTTAGCAGTCCTTCTAAGGCCTCTTCCCAGTGAGGTCATAATGCATGTTTTCTTCTAAAAACTTTGATGGATGCTCCAACCCCTGATAGAAAGGTATGGCAAGGCTATTTAGTAAGTGAAGATCATGTGTTTTTCACCTGTTGATGATATGCTCCAATAGTTCTCTCTACATAACTGTCTAAGTATTGTTCGCTCAAGGGCCCATAATGCTCACCCAAACAAGGAATGGAAGCAGCCCTGGGGTGACCAAAACCGGGTCAATTTCAAGTATTCTGGACCTGTTGTTTCTACCCAGTGAGGTGTGGCTCCAGAGGCTTTATGACCTTTGTGAGCCAGTGTCTTCAGATGTTCTCAATTTACAGTCTCATTCTCATAGGCTGTTCCTGCCTTCAGTGACAAATACCAACACTTGAACTGAATGTACCATCAACGTTAAGGTTAAGTTTGAATCCACCATTTGTGCTCTGAGATGTGTTAAAATATCACAACGGTGCTTGAACCGAAAGAAAAATTTCCTCTGGCGATCTGTGACTCCAGACAGGATCCAGAGAGGAGTTTTACAGTCTCATCCCTGGGTTTTATGGAGACTTACTTTACCCTTCTGTGTTAGCCTCTTAAGGCACTGCGTCAACCTTAAAAGGGCACAGGAAAGGGCGGTCTGGGGTTTTACAGGGTTCTCTATGACCCCTGCTCTCCTCTGCAGACAACACCCCCTGCACCTCAGCGGTTTCCGGGGCCAAGTCCGAAAACCCACCGGAAGCAGTTGTCCTGCGGGGGGTGGGGGAGCCGGGAACTTACATGTCCTCTATCCGAAGGTGCAGCCAATTGGGGGGCCTTGGAACCAAGCACGTGGGAACCCCCGGTCGCCATTGGCCACGTGCTCCGGGCCGAGCGCCTCGCTCTTCCCTCCAAGACGGGGACATACCTGCGCCTGGAAGTCAGGCCGCTGCAGTCCCGCACACGTCGGAGACCGACTCCGCAGGCTCCAGGTCGGGCTCCCACAGCCGCAGGCGGGCCGGGCCCCGAACCCGCCGCAAAGCGGCCGCAGCCGCGCCCTAGGGGGGCAAAGCGCAAGAATGTTAGGGCGCCCGGGCCTGCCCGCGGGGAAGCCTCCCGGCGGCTCCGCGCGGCGTCTGTGCCTCGCGCGGCCCCGGGACGGGCTGGACCGCCCGCCCCCCGGGCCGCCGAGGGCTGCTCTACCCCTCCGTTCTGGCCGCCGGGAGCAGCGGAGCTCCGGGCGGGCAAAGCTCGAAGGAATGCGGGGCGAGCGCAGCCCCACCTGGGCCCGGAGGCCGGGCGTTCTTCCCGCCGCAAGGGACCTGAGACTCGAGCCCCACTCACCGCCGCACTCCGTGAGACACGAAAGCCCGCGAACACCAGAGACCCAGCCAGAGGCCGGGGCTGGAAAGTAGGCAGCCAATCCCCGGGAAGGGGGCGGGGAAAGGACAAGGCGGCGGGGGAGAGCAGCCAATCCTAGGGAGGCCTGGGGCGGGGTGGCAGGGAGAGCAGCCAATCCTCGAGAGGGCGGGGGCGGAAAGGGGGCGGGCCCGGTCATTGGCGCCCAAGGTCTCACCGCGTGGGACTTTCCTCTCCGGCTTAGACTAGGAGACTAGTCTAGTTCCTTTTTGGAGCTTGGGAACCGGGGCGGGAGAATGGCGTCCCTCAAGACCCTCGTGGATGTGGTTCTCTCAGGCCAACGTTCCTTCCTCGGGGACTGTCCTGGAGAGGCTTTGGCCCTTACCTCTCCCCAGCTCAGCCCCTAGGCCACAGCTCTGGGTCATACAGCCTCCTAAAATCCTGAGCTGTTCTTTACTGTGCCACATTTTTATCACATTTGAGTGCCTGCTGTGTGCCATGCACGTTTCTAATCCTTAAATGGATGAAACAAAAGCCTTAGATGTTACAGTGGAGAAGAAAAATCAAGACAAAAATACCCAATATATCTTAGGGTGACAAATGCTAAGGAGAAAAACGTAAGTATTTTAGTATTAAGAAGAAGAATGTTGTGGGGGATGGGATAGGGCTTTTCAAACCCTTCAGCTTCCCAGTCCTTCCTCCCAGTCCCTGAATGAGCCTGCAGCAGTGGTTTAACTGCTATCCAAACTGCCTCTTGCTAATGTTGACCAACCAGCCATTTCTGTGTTTATCTCATTGTTATCTCTTTTCTTCCCTCTCTTTTTAAACTTAAATTTACATTTTATTTTTCCCAAGTTATTTTAACCTCGTAAAACATGCATATTTTCATAATAGAGTTAAGGCCAGGGGTAAGGGGAACAGCGATTATGAAATAAAGTGGAAAGAGACATGCTCAGTCCTTGGGAGCCCGTAGCCTCCTATTGGGATGTGTTTGTTTATTTATTTATAGAACCCATATGAGTTGAGAACCTAACATAGGCCAAACGCTGCGCTAGACCTGGAGGTATACAGATAGTGAGGGGGGAAAAAAAAAAACCCAAAATGTGAACCTTGCCCTGGTGGAAGGGTCTCGTGGGTAAAATAGACATTAATACAAGAATCACATCAAAAATGTAAAATTAGCACTTAACAAGAGTTACAACAGTAATCAAAGACTCACCTTTTGATTAAGCAGAAAACTGAAGACAAGTTTATGGGGCAAAGGAGAGGACCCTCGGGTATAGTTCCACACAGAGGGGAAGGCATGTGCAGAGTGTGTGTTCTAGGAAAGAGCTCAGTGCTTTCATGGAATTGCAGGAAGGCTGCTGTGACTTCTGCACAAAACGCCAAGGGCGGGGGGCGGGGGGGGTGTGTGGAGAGAAATACAGGACGAGGCATGATATAAACTGGGCTGCAGTGGGGGATGTGGCCGGAGATGCTGGTGGCTGCCAGAACATGCCAGAGCCTGCAGTCCGTAAATGATGCTTATTGATAATGTATTGTATAGATGTATGTCAATAAAACATTGCTGTTGGCAAGGCTGGCGTGTGTCAGGCCAGTGTGTTAAAGATATTAAGAGCTAACCTTCTTGGCGCCCTTTACTACCTGCTCTGTATGTGTATTGAGCCGCATAGATGATCTCATTTAATCCTTTTACCTGCCCACTGGGTGCAGCAGGCGTGATGAAATTCCTCATTTTGTTCCTGAGGATCCGCATAGTGCTAATATTTTGTGAGAACTACTCTATTCCCAGTCTAGTAGTATAGATGGCTGCTGGACACGTTAGGGTTTCTAAGCACATGCGCAACACTAGCAACACTGACTTAAGTTCCACTGCAACACTCGTACATTAACGCACAAACGTAGGGGAGGAAACGAAAATCATAGCTGCAGTGGCCAGATGGTGGACACAGGATGGCAGCATGGAATTCTCAACTTCTGAAACTTGGAAGGTGCTTTTTCTTAAAAGTGATTGCGGGATTTAATTTAGAACTCTTAAAATCCAGAGTTGTAGTAAGGCAGCTATATTAGAGGTTGCATGTTGACCAGCTGACCCTAAGCAATCGTGCTGCGGTCCTATCGTGTTTGATTATATTGGATTTTAAATACTGCTTTTTCTTAAAAGAATTCTTTAAAATGATTACATGCTACCTATTTTGTTTAGCATCCAATGTAGCCTATGAACTTACTGTATAAATGAGTTTTGGTTGGTCAGTTAAACTAATTAGCATTAGGTACCCACTTGAAAGTACAGCCATGATGAACTATTTAATTCTATTAAGGAAAATTGAATGAAGCGTCAGCCTCCTTCTTCTGTAGCACAATTTTAATGAGACTGCTTGGGTTGAGTCCTGTTCTATATCAAAAAAGGAACATGAATGCTTTCAGGTTCTATTTTTGGCTCTACCATGGGCTTTGCTATTATACCCAGAGCAAGACGAAACCTGTTACTTTTTTTCCATTTGCAAAATAAATGTAGGCAGTGCTTTTAGCCTTTTTCACAGGAGTGGCAGGATTAATAAGCGCCACAAATGACCTTGACCTGTTTTGTAAACTGCAGGTGCATTTTTATTGCCATATTTTCATGACAAATGGAGATCGGTTAGTTTCATACTTTTTTTTTCCCCCTGATGAGTTAATATTAAGCTAAAACTTTAAAGTCTGGAATATGTGCTTTATCAGCTGCTCTTCAACATTCCAGTTTCCAAATTCAAACAAAAGGAGAATAAGATAAATCTTTCAAGTGATAATCAAAACAGTAGAAAGGAAGTGAAAGAGTTGCCTTGTAAATGGAGGTCTGTTCATTTTGGTTTCAAAATTGCACTCTGTTTTCAGTAAGATGAGTAAGAATATCTGAAATACATTATTAAAGCCTGTGTTGAATGAAGCTGACTTGCTGGAAAACAATAATGTCAAGAGTTGGTGTGTCAGGATGTGGTATCTGTGGGCGTTTACCAGTTTGAGAAGTTTGTGATAATATGCTTTTAAGAGTGATTGCTGACCACTCTGGGATCTTTCTATGGATCCCAATGCTGACGTGGTGGAGCTGGGATTGACGGTACAAGAGGCACGAAAACATTCTTGCGCTTGGGGATTTTGCACAGCTCCAGCTCGTCAGAAGCTTCTTGTATCCATCCTAGACGACTGTTACTGGTCTACATGCTGTGGGCGTGGGCAGCCCTTATTGCGGTGATTAGGTCAGGCACACGTGTGATTGACTTGGTTTTGAAAGACAGCATCCAGGTCAGCGTCACAAGGAACGAAATCGATTACTTCAAATACTGAGCTGGTTCCTGGAAAGTGCGCGATTCCCACGCCTCCAGGTTCCAGGTAGACGTGTTTCCAGTAGGGTAACATACCTGTCTGTCTCTGCCCCCTTCCTCACTCTTCTCCAGGGAGGAAGGAGTCCCTTCTCTCACTGATGAGTCTGAAGAAGGAACTGGGCTATGATGGGCAGCCTCCCCCCACAACTCTGAGACCGGCTGACCTGTAAGACCTAATGTGAATTTTGTTTTTTGCAACTGAGTCCCTCTAATATATTTGCTTCATGCTTCTGGCTGTGTGGATCCCCATGGTTGTTATTTGGACTCTGGAATGAATGTTACATAAAAATTGAAAATAATCTCTCTTCATAAAATTCTCCCAAATCAACTCTCACCTCATTTCAGTAACTCAGCATAGAAATTGCCCTTTTAATATGTGCTGGAATTCAGATGAAATTGAACATAACAAATCTTCTGTCTTTTGCTCTTGCTCACATTCTCCTGTGGCTGTGGAAGCACAGAGTGAATGTGAAAAGTGTAATGTTTTTACATTTGACCATTTCTGTTCTTGCTTTCATTACAACTGTGATCTGTGTGAGGCCGTATCATTTGATCTAGCACAGTAGCTAACATGTATTTGAAACTCGGCACATGTTTGTTGAGTAATGAATGACTAAGTTCAGGGTATTGAGACTGAAAATGTCTCAAAACCATTTTCAGGTATTTCATAGTGCCCTCAATCAATAGCAGAGTCGGTTACTCACAGATGATCTTGTCAAGCCCCAGGGGGTGTTATCCAGCTCATACTGGGCCAGACTCATCATGGAGGCCATGGGTGTGCAGAACTGAGGAAGCTGTCCCCCAATTGAGGGTGCTACCACATTAGCCTGGACCTCACATAAACACATAGCAAAGAAATACGAAATCCCAGCCACACACTTCTGGATGGAAAGAGTTAAAAAGGATAGGGTCCATCTGGCCACTGATTACGCAGAAAATACCACCAGCCCTCTGGGGCCTGAAGCTCTATCCCGGGCCCTACAATGGCTGTATTATCACCTCTGTCACCGTTAGCCTGCGCCTAATGCACTCCTTTCTAGTAAGTGTACTTCTTCTGACTCCCTGGACCTCTCCATGTCACATACTCCAACTGCCCATCCTTGCTCCAGCTGACCTATCCCCAACAGGCTTGCTCTCCTTTCCTAGACCCCTGGGGACTCTCTTTTTCAGCCATATGCAGGAGGGTGGTCTGTATTTCCATTCATTCATGTAATTGGACGGAAGCCACTAACTGAGCACCCACTGTGTGTTGGGCACTGGGCTATGTGTCTGGGCTACAAAAATGATCCAGACATGGTCTTGCCTCTCTGAGAGCTCATAGATGATGTCGTACAGTCAGTGATGCGGTTGAGGTCGCACTGAGCACTTGTGGGGCACCGAAATGAGGCATCGAAGCAGCCTGGGAAGTGTGCCAGGAGCAAGGCCTCTTTTCTCAAGTTGCCATGTTCCAGAAGAGCTGGAGATTGAACTGAGAATTTCAACGTTTATTTATTTTTGGGACAGAGAGAGACAGAGCATGAACAGGGGAGGGGCAGAGAGAGAGGGAGACACAGAATCGGAAACAGGCTCCAGGCTCTGAGCCATCAGCCCAGAGCCTGACGTGGGGCTCGAACTCAGGGACCACGAGATCGTGACCTGGTTGAAGTCGGAGGCTTAACCGACTGCGCCACCCAGGCGCCCCAGAACTGAGAATTTCAAATAGGCCCCAGTCCCAGACCAAAAGGCGCTGTGAAGCTGAGCATGTAGTCAGGAGAAGAGGGATAATTAGTTGTGAGTTCTGGAGAGGAGGAAGGAAAGGAAAGTTCTGCAGACAGTACAGAGAATGTCAGGTGTTTAGACTTTCGGGCTTAGAAAGAGCACCAGCCCTCTTTGTGATGGAAACTTGCTGGCACCCTTTTAAAATTGGTGTTAGAGAATCAGGGCTAAGGGGTAAAAAAGTGTCCATTTGCTAAATTCTCTTATAATACATCAGGAAAAAAACTGTGTGTGTCCTGTTGGCATTTTTACTGCCATTTTAGAGGAGGGTTATAGTTTTCTAACAAGCTTCGTTCATTATAATGCACATACTTGTATCAACAAGTTGAGGAAAAACCTGATTGACATTAATCTCAAAGGTGTTTCTGGGAAGGTGTTTTTGTTTGGTTGTCTTTGAAGTGAAGATCAGAGGTGATTCTTTGTCACCCACAAAACTTTGATGTTTTCCTGAATTACTGCTCACAGCTAGGTCATAAACACCAACATACACAGGCAACATCCACAATCATTTTATGACCACGTGAGAAATTTGTTGAGGAAAATGTAATTTGCTACTGCTCAGCGTGACTTTGAAACGTTCCTGGGTATCCTGGGAGGGAAAACTAGTTCTAGAACAGCGGCATTAACATCCATTAAGAAAGTCTATGTAAAAAAGCGGGTTAACTGACTGCAGTCAAATGTATCAAAGAGGCAAAGAAAGGACTCGCTTTAGTACAGTTGATGTGGGAGGGAATGAGGCTGTGAGTCTGACCGCTGGGTGTCCTGGACGAGGCTGAGGCTTTGCACCTGGACAGGCGCAGCTTGGAATCCCTGCTCTGTTATTTACTAGTTGTGTGCCCTCAAGAGAAGTACATCCTCTCAGCTTCCTTATAAACAAAAGGGGGATATTGACATTGTTGTCAGGATTAAGTGCAATGACATAGTTAAGGTGCCTCATATATAAGTGTGTGCTCAGAACTGTAGACACATTGATCTTGAGCAAAATAGTCATTTCACAAAATTTTGACTCTGAAGTCTCAAGGTATATGTCTTGGTTTTGAATGTACTAAATGCCTTGCTTGCCCAGGTCGTCCTCATGTAATACTGGCTTACGTCTATCCTCGTGGCCACAGATGTCTGAAGATGTCAGACATGACTCATCAAAGGTTGTGGAGGAGATCTGGGGGAGAACCTGAGGACCTGTTTATTCACACACATAACTACAGTTATTTTACATGTTAGATTAACAAAGGCACGGATGATTTCTGGCTCTCTCTTACAAACATTATCCTCTCCTTAATTTAATTTATCCTCTCTTTATACATAGAAGGAGGTGAAAGTAGTACTTAGACTTTGAACAATAGAATGGTTGCCCAATCCCTGGGAAAGTCCTGCTGTTCTTTAAAGCCTCAGGAGAAAAGAATAGGGAATTAAAAAGGGGAGGAACTTGGGGCGCCTGGGTAGCTCTGTCGGTAAAACGTCCGACTTCAGCTCAGGTCATGATCTTGTGGTGTGGGAGTTCGAGCCCCGCATTGGGCTCTGTGCTAACAGCTCAGAGCCTGGAGCCTGCTTTGGATTCTGTGTCTCTCTCTGTCTGCCCATCCCATGCTCATGCTCTGTCTCTGTCTCTCAATAATAAATAAATGTTAAAAAAAAGGGGGGGGGGAGGAATTCTGTGTGGCCCATCAGAACAACCAAATTCATCCTTGCATCCATCCATCCATCCATCCATCCATCCATCCATCCAACCATCCATTCACTGCCATGTTCAGATGCCTGCCCAGCAGTTACCTTCCTGTTTGGAGAATTCCCTATTGTATGAATCTTGGGCAAAGGCAGCACCTGTCTCAAACATACACTTTCCTCTGCCCTTTAGCATCTAGGACATGGGAATATGCTGTTGGTTCAGCTAATGGGACTCTCCTGCCTAGGATCTTAAGCCTGAAGCAAATCAGCAAAGAATCAAGGACGCTGTAGAGTGTGTGTGTGTGTGTGTGTGTGTGTGTGTGTGTGTGTGTGTGGCAATGGTATGAGAAATAGCATCAAATGTCTACAAATAGCAGTGTCTAGCAGAATGGTGCCCTCTCCAATTATGGCATGATTTTGCCTTTGTCTGCTCAGCTTTTCCCCTACCTCCAACTTTGTGGTGAGTCCTGTCTTGGCTTGTTGTTTTCTGGGTCTTTGGCACTCAACATGGAGAGAACGTGTGTGAGTGACAGGGCAGGAGACAAGGGAGGAAAGAGAAAAGAGAATAAAGCTTCCAGGAAAGAGAAACATAACGATTCTGAAGTAGTGTCAGACTATGGATGAGTAGAAACCCTGAGACCATAAGGAAGTGTCACTGTGGTATCTGACTCAGGTTCCTATATTGGCCTTTGAAAATACAATTAGTGACTACTGTTACTTTTTAATTACTTTCTTGTTCCCAGACTTTTTTCTTTGAGTGTGCTTAATATTCATTTTGGCAGTATGAGCCCCAATGGACAGTCTACACTTGAATGGCCACTCCTTTTGTTTGCTTGGGTCCTTGACTCTTCTCTGTGACTAGTTGAGTTTATTCTCCTTCTCACCCGGGGGGAACTGCCCAGCATCTTGTTACAGGTTGAGGATGAAACTGACACAGAGGAAGGCAAAGCCAGTTAAGCCACAAGCATACAGAATCATAGCCACAGGATTCAGATAATTCTGAATGGGCTCTACCATTGGACTTCCAGTGAAGTGTGCCAATCAATTTCCCTGTTACTTAAGTAAGATCAAATTGGACTTTCTGACTTGCAGTTAAACGCATCTTAAACTGATATGGTCACATGGTGGAACTAGCCCTCAGCGTGAAGCAGAATACTTGGTTTATGACCCGTTGGCTGTGTGACCATAAGCAAGTCCCTTCACCTCTCTGGGACTCGCCTTCCTCATCTGAAAAGGTGAAGGTTTTGAACTAGATCAGTTGTCCTCAGCCATGAGTGGTCCTGCTCCCATAAGAGATATTTGGGAAAATGTGGGGCATTTTCATTATCACAGTATTTGGCAGGCAGGGGACAGAGATGCAAAATGTCTACAATGCTTGGGATGATCCCCTACGATGAAAATTTGTCTCGCCCAAATTGCCTCTTGAGATACTGTCTGGATAGAGTCTTTATGTCCGTGTTCCTTAATTTTGGACAATATTAATCACCCTGGAAATTGCTAAAAATGTAGATTCATCGTCTTGCTCCAGACCTACTGCATCAGCATCAAGATCCCCAGTGATGCGATACAGTCTAAACTTGGCTTTACTTGTTCGTTCACCTCACCAGGCCGTAAAATGCTGACAGTATAAAAGTTTTCTTATGAGACTTGAAAGTCACAGATGCAGAGAACAAAGCAGTGGTTGCCAGAGGTGGTGTGGGGTGTGGGGGAGATGGGTGAAAGGGGTGAAGGTGGTCAAAAGACACA